GTCGCCGGCCGTGCTTTGCTGTCTGTCGAGGACCGGTTTCACCCCACGGTGGGATTCATTCCGCGGTCGCAGATGTTTATGGAGTCCTCGCGGCGGCCCAGGTTCTTTCGAACATCCAACCAGGTCTATTAAGATAATTATCTAATAACTAATTATTAAAATGCAGTTTACTGGCAGCTCACTGATTGATGCTCTGTTCATCTATTTTTTTTAAAGTATTTTTTAATTTCTTTGTTTCATTTGGGGTGGTTTCTATCCAGTATATTTTGTTATCTCAGACACTATTTTTCATCCGTAGAATTCACTTTGGGTCTTTTTAATATCTTCTGTGTCTCTATCTGCTCATGTTTTTTCCTTTACTTTTTTGAATATATGGAGTATAATAGCTGCTTTTAGTGTCTGCCTAATAATTATCACCTGTGCCATTCCTGGATCTGTTTCTATTGATTTTTCTCCTCATTATGGGTCATATTTTACTATTTCTTTGCACGCCTTTAATTTTTGATTGGGTACCTGTAAACTTTATGTTGTTGGGTGCTTTTTAAAAAGTTCCTTTAAATATTTTTTGGGCTTTGGTCTGGGACGCAGTTAAGTTCCTTGGAAACTATGGTTTTTTTCGAGGCTTTGATTGTATGCGTTCGCAGGTGGGACAGAGCAGTGTTCTAGTGCTAATTTGGCCCTTCATGGAAGCAATACCCTTTGGAGTGCTCTGCCTGATGCCCTGTGTATTACCAGGCTTCTCCACCCTGGCTCTTTAGAATGTGGACAATTCCCAGACCTGTGTGAGCCCCAGGAATTCTATCTGCTTCTTCCCGGAGGCTCTTTCCCTAGTTTTAGGTAGCTGCCTCACACAACTGTGCTGATCAGTACTCAGCTGAAGCATTGAGGGGGACGTCCTGCAGATTTCTGTTCAACTCTCTCCCCTCTGGGACTCTGCTCAGCCTTACCTCTCTGAATTTTCAGTTCTGTGCCTTCAACTCAGGGAGTCTGCTGGCTCTGCTTTGGTTGCCCCTCCCTTTACCGCAGCCTACAAACTCTCCCCAGGCAGGGAGCTGGGCCAACCCGCGGACTCACCTCACTTGTTTCCCTTCTCTCAGGGCACCCCATCCTGTACCTCCTGTTGTCCAAGTTATGTTTCATGTATTTTGTCTAGATTTTTAGTTGTTTAAGAGGAAATGGTAAATCCAGTCCCTGTTGCTTCCAGAAGCAGAAGTCCTATCTGTGAATTCAGATTCATTAATATGATCTGATTTTGATTATGCTGATTTTGTGGGTGACAGATCTCTTTCAAGGCTGTTTTCCTTTTTGAAATAAAGACCATCATTTTTCATTGTTCCGTCATGCAATTAGGAGGACAGGATTACTTTGCAAACCAGAAATAATTTAATTTTGCATTGGTCTCTGGGCAGCAGAGAAAGTCTGGTTTCAGGTCAAGCACCCACCTGTCTAGGCAGCAGTGCTGACCAGAACAGTGAATGTGGCTCTCCCTGCCCCCAATTTAAGTTGGAAACGCAAAAAGCCCCATGTTCTCTTCCTTGCAGTTTTGTTGAGTAAACAACCTGAGCTCTGGGTGCACAGGGTTTGAAATCACACTTAGGTTTACATCTTAGCTTTGCTGCTTGAAAGTTATGTGACCTTGGGAAAATTACTAAATCTCTTTTAGTTTCTTTCTTCATCTGTAACATTGTATTATAAAGCCTACTTCTTAAGGTTGTTAGTGAAATTGAGAAATGCTGCATTAATCTTAGGTGCCTGGAGGAAGAAAAACAGGCTCCTGGGCTGACTCCCTGAGCCCAGCCCTCCACCACAGCCCCTTCCACTGCTCCCTGCTTTGCAGCTCTCCTCCCTGAGCCCCAGCTTACAGCTGTCCTCTCTCCCCCTCTTCTTTGCCAACCCTCCACATCATACCCACAGCACTGAGCCTGGGCTGCATCCTCTCTCTCGTGCACTCCCACAGCAGCTTCCTGTTGGACCCACACCCCAACTCCGTTTACTTGTTTCTCTACCTCCCCCTCGGCTGTAAACTTCTTCCCAGTAAGGCACTTAGAATTTGATGAATGGATATATAAATAAAGAGATGCATTGATGGATGATAGACAAGAGAGCAGGACAAGCAGGGATCTGTGGCTTCTTTATGAATTAATGACTTAAAAGTCCAGACAATTTTCACGTTCCCCCCAATTCACATCTCTTTACTCTGCTTATTTGATGCTGCCTAATTATCATAGGTTGAGATCCCTGGGAAACACGGAGATGCAATGTGTGCAGGAAGTCTGCTGGGGAAGGTTCTTGGAAACACCTGTGAAGGATAGGGAGCCATGAGATGGGCAGAGGGTGAAGTGAAATGGTGATGCAGCTGCAATGGAAGACTTTATCAACCTGGGAGAAGTATGGGAGGACCTTTCAGGGATGTCTCCCATCAAGGAATGTGGCCAGGTCTTTGAACCCATCACCTTTCCTCCAACCCCCAACTCCAAGGAGATGTGGGCTGCTCCTGGATGGGACAGAAACTTGGGAGAGGCATCTCCCTTTAGCCTAGGGCAATTCCTGGGGAGGGACAGCAGGTGGCACTCCTGTATGCTGTGAACGGGAATGTGGCGGTGGCGGGGGGAGGGGCCACACCTGGGCATCCACTACAGCAATTCAGACTTCTCTTTCTCTTCTGACTGTTTTCATATGATTAGGCACATAAGAATTGTTTATGAAATATTTTTTCCTTCTCTAATTAACTTATTCCCTGACTGGTGTTTTAGATTCTGAAGTATTCTGGAAGTGCTGGTGGAAGATCTCTTGGTTGGGAGAGTGGTTCCCCCTAGCCTGGTAGCACACTCCCAAGCCTGCTCCTCTTCCTTTGGCTCCATTGTCATTATCTTCTGTTGATCTTGTGTACCCTGAAGGGCCAGAGTTTTAGCTGCTGTTCGTATACAGCATCCTAGCCGGGATTGGCTCTATTGAAGGCCCGTATCAGCAGGAGTCTTTCTGGGGCAACCTGTAACGTAAGTAGAAATTATCCTTTTTTTTTTTCTTTAAATGCACACTCAGCTTATACCAAGAGCGAAACCCTGTACGCTACCCTTTAAATCTTTCTTCTCCATCCATTCCCAGGTTCCTATTCCAGTAAGAGTCACTGCCTTCGAGAAACTTGCAAGCCGGCGGACAGATATGTAAAGGGTTTTCTACATTAGATAATACAACTAGATAAATGCTATAGCAGGAAAAATCAGTAGGAAAAAAAGTGTCTCGGGAAGCCATGGGAAGAAACAAATTTGAAACAAAACTCAAGTTTCCAGAGCTCAGAGCTGAGCAACTTTTACAAGGTGACTTGCCTGTTTTCAGTTATTGACTTGGAGGTATTGAAAGGGCAGCCTCTTCCCTTCACTCTCTCAAATTTCTGTAGTGGCCACAACAAAAGAAAAATTTAAATTTCCTCTAAGGGAATCTTATTCAAACGCCCAGAATCTGTAGCAGGGTCCTGTTACGGGGCTGCTATGGTCAAGACTTGATCTCGGATGAGCCATCCGGCGTCAGGAAAATCTAAAGGGAAGGAGATGGGATGCACCCAGAGGCCATTTAAGGCACACAAACAGGGGCCGCTGACCGAGGAAAAAGGAGGCGCGAAAGAGGAGCGAAGAAGCCTGTCTCTCAGGGTGATGCCCCAGCGGCGCCAGCCCCCAGCTGAACTCCTGCGCCCGGCCCTGGGCAGGTGCCCACCGACTGCCGGGGGAGAGGGCTGTCCTCCAGGCGGTTACAATTCCGCACCCTCACTTCTCCTCCTGGGGTCTCGGGAGAAGAGAAGAGGGGCACCGGGCCAGTCCCCGCCCTCCACAACACGTAACGGAACCCGTGCCAGCGGGAACCGTGGGAATCCAGACCCCTCTCCGCGCAAACGCGCCCAGCTCTGGTCTCGGCTCCTCGCCGGGCTGCCTGCGGGCTGTGCTCACTGCAGAAACCGCCGCTGCCTTCCGGGACCGGCCACAGCAGCGCGGGCCAGGGAGTGACATCCGGGGGGCCGCCGCTAAGGCTCAGCTCGCAGGACCCGGGGCTTCCACCTGGCCACTTTCGCGCAG